TAGTGCATTGTGTTTCTATCTGTTTTCGCTAGTGTTGTGAAACATGGAGTTGAGGACACAAGCTACGAAGAGGTCAGCCGTCTTGACCATGGGTTTCTGTATTCATTTTCTCCCGTTAAATGGAGAAATCTAGTCGGTAATAATCGTGTCAGATGCAGAGTGTTATGTATGGAAGGGAAGTCAGTGGATGTGGTTGTTATGCTGTATCACTTGTGACAGGAAATGGTTTGTGCATGCCAAGCCATCACCTCCATTGACGAGCGATGTCAGCTTACATGGAATCGGGTTACAAAAGAGTTAGGTGTCGTCAGATGAAAAAAGTATGCCAATCTGTGAAGTCAATGACTGTTGCTTTGAGACACTTTGGATAGTCTAGACTACCTAGTTGGGGTCCTCAGAATGCTAGGATTAAGTGGTTGGAGGCAGTCGATGAAATGGCTCGAAATTGTTCCGGATGGTGCAGAAGTTTTCACTTCGTGCGAATGTTGTGATTCTGAAAAACCTGTTTACTCCTCATGTAGTTAGTCTTTCGTGCATTTTCGTTCAGTATAGTTTCAATTCATTTCTACTCTATGTCTTTATATGTGCTGATAGGAAGTGTGGCAAATTGGACTGTTCAACATTTATGGAAAGCTGAGCAATAAAAATTCACCTCACTTCAGAATACTTAGATTAAATACTTACATTAAACGGTCTTCCTACTTTTAACGTAACTTTTTCAACTTTTATAAATATCTGAAAGTCCTGGTTACGAAAAGGTTGTTCCAGGAGAAGGTATGCCACTGCCTGATGATTCAGAGAAGAGAGGAGATTTGCGAATTCACTTTAACATTCAGTTCCCTAAAAAACTTAGTGGAGATCAAAAATTAATCATTGAACGAGCATTTTTTGGATAATTTCCCCATCAAAAAATGTTGTCTTCATCATTTTGGACACACGTGTGCATAAACTAACACATAGATTTTTTTCTATAAACAAAAAGTCTTGAGAAAGAAGCAGTTGTAATGAAACTACATTCATTGTTCTCGTACTCCTTTTTGTTCAAAAACGAAGTTTTTGAATACTTCATTTTGTAAACAAACATGTGTTTGACAAAAAATGACTGATACTCTTAGTTTTCATTATAATATAAACTTCTTTTGAAGACATTTGATTTCCTTTTCTATTCCACCTAGCAATACATCATTGCAACTAGTATTTAGCTACTTTGCAAAACAAAGTGACGCTGGTTTAGACCACTCCTAGACGGTTTTTGAACTTACAATTCCTCGTCGATACAAACCTTTAGTCTCGAATAAACTATTTATTCGAACCTTATATCAATGACTTTATCAATAAGTGGTTCTTTCTTACCTTCTCATCTGACTGGTAATGTCATTAGGTCTTCAGTTGATTTTGTCAATGCAGTTCCTGTTAAAAACAACAATAATCTGTGGAGACCTAACTTTCGATTAGGGTGTAAGTAGCTATTTCGACATAGATGTGTGAACTACGGAGGGCCTTATACTGAAGAGGAAATGGTTAATAAGGGCAGATCTAATCAGAACTGGGATAAAGTGAAACGAATATTGGCACGACAATAAATTTCTTATCGATTTCCCTATTTGAGAATAATATCAGGCACTCTATTTGGAATGTTTATCCATCATTCTGTCACTTATCGGTCTCCTCTCAGTATAGTAACCGTCTTCTCGCGTTTCATTTGTAGTGGCTTTCCTACCATCAGTACTCCTCTATGGTATCTATATCAATTTACAAATGGAATATACCACAATACCATCTAATTATGGAATGAATGTCTAAGGTTTTATGAGGTAGTGGAGAAAATAATTATTGGGTTGACATTTTTTGGGGTGACGGTCAAAATATGTCGTCTATCCAGAGAGAGAGAGATATTCCATATGGGGTGATTTGCATACTTTACAAAACTCATCTCTCATGAGTTAAAACTTATTCTGAGGTAGGTATGTGTTGAAAGCAAAGTTATTTTCAAGGTTGATTTAGTCACGAATTGACAACACTTGGAGAAAACCGATAAGTACTGCACAGTTGTTTCCACCTAGTGTTGAGCTTTCAGCTGCATGTGCTAATGATCCCACCATAGATCAAACTCGAAACCTTCAGGTTACAAGGAGCTGGATCGGAATCCTGTTACTCATGAACTCTGACTCCTACCAATTCAGTTTCATCAACAAATATCTACTCTTGAATCCGATTCGATGAACCTGATCGCTGACGTATTTTCTTTTGAACTCAAAAAGGTCCACCCCTTAATCAGTGACTATTGAGCAGCAGATTATATTTTAGGCTAATAATTAAAGTAATTTTTGCAGGAAGTCACTGTTTACTCATAAGTAACTCGAAATAATCTTTCCAACATTTATTTTTGTATTCATTAGTGAAACCTCTAAGTTTAGAAGGCATTATTCCTAATCCAACAAAAGGCTTGGGAAATTAGTTTCTTTTATGCTCTATGCAACATCGTCCAATTTAACAACCGGTACTAAATGAGGAAAAGATGGACATGAGGATAGGAATCCCACCGCGTAAAATTCAGTTCAATCACTACTGAAACTTCAGAAAAATGAACTTATTTTCTGCTGGAATCGAGAAGACTTTGCGAAGCTAGTCAGCCAATAAATACTCTTCTGATGAAAGTGGAAGCAAGAGTAGGAACACGGAATGCACCCACAATGTTTAATACTGGCTAGGCTGCACAGGAAGTGAGAAAATTTGGTAGTGAAGTGTTAGAAGTCTATGGGAGCTAAATAAATGTAGTGTACAAATTGTTAAATAAAGAGTCAATCCATTCGAGTCACCCAGACGACAGTCATGAGCATACTGAGGGTGTGACTAGCATCGATGGCCATCATGCAGTGGGAAACATTTTCTTCCAGGATTATGACAGAAGGATTCAACTCAAAAGGAAGGAATGTTACAATTCAACATTGCAACGTACCTACAAATAACGGCTACCCGGTGGACTTCTATCTCATCATGAGTCGACATGTGCTCGGTGAAATAACTGGTAACGGAAAATTGTGAAGATTTCTGTGCCTTTAATGGTTCTTGAATGAAGGCAGCGTGTACAAGCAACTAGCCAATTAAAGGGAGACGTGGATTTTACCATATGGAAAGTGGAGACACAAGTTCGAGATTAGGAGCAGATGTAAGATCAGATCACTAACTAGTTCAGAAAACCTTCAAGATCAATTTGAAAGTCTTCAAAGTAGATGGAAATAGAACGCGGCTCAAATTCAACACTCAAAGACTGTAAAACGGAGCTACAGGTATCACTACCATAGCAGTCATCACGGAAAAGTCGGAAACATTACCAAGAAAACCATGGTAAAACACTGGAACTTTCTGATATAGACCTATATGGATATCTTCGGAGAGAATAAAAGACGAGACACTAAATGTCTATATACGAACACCTGGAAGCTGGTAGAGGAGAGAAGGACAGTGAAGCATATGAACAATGATGGACGCGAACTGTAACGTAAAACGCACCGGGAAAAGGAATCAGTTAGTGTTAGAAAAGACAAAACACGCTTTTACGACACATTGCGGACTGCAGCAGAACAGACTGCATGTAAATTATACCCTAAAACAGGATGTCAGATAATCTGGTTGCTATCCGGGAAGAAACTAACGTTGAAAAAGCCAGTGAAGGATGGCGAAGGAAACTCAATTAGCTAAGAGGTGCAACGGAGGAAGTGTTGAGCTGATCATCTCAAAGGAGTCTTGAGTCAACCAAAAAGCACGACTCTTTCAGAAATACCATCAGCAAACACAGAAATGGTTGCAAAAACCAACTCTGGCGAGAATAATTTCTTGAATGCCATTAAGTTTCTGAAAGCTAGTAAAGCAGCAGAAAGAGATACGATCTCGAAAGATGCAGGAGATAAGTAGGGCAAGAAAGTAACTTGGCGATTAAAAGACTATCTTGTCAAAATGCCGGACAAAGGCATTATACAAGCCTATACAAGGATTTTTAAGTATTTGTTTTGTAGGGATTTTTTCGGTTGATTGGTTTGAAGATTTCATCACGAGCTGACACCAGTTAGAAAACGATTGCGTACTGATGGGAAGTCCCGAACTAGGACATAACAGCCGTCCAGTACTCCCAGGTTTTCCAATGGTTCTCTAACTGATGTCAGCTCACGATGAAATCCTCCAACCTATACAAGAATTGACCCGGAATCATGCTCGAGTCTACATCAATCAAATATTATCATACAATGACTCCCTTTTATAAATTTGAACAAAGAAAGAAGAAACATTGGCGCAGAATAATCTGGATCCATTTTATTTCGTTGGTTCTCATCAGCTGCGTACAATCTGAATTCTTTAATAAAATAAAAATGTACAACTTTAACAAACTTTTGTCCATTAGCAAGCATATTGTCAGAGCGTCATAGTAAAATAAGGCGTTGCGATTTACAGGGTTTCTAAAGTGTTACGACATATATATACATATATCTTGTCAGAGAGAAGTTTCTTGAAAAAAAATAATTGCGTTGTTGGGGTGGTAACAAAGGGAAAGTAGTAGTAGTTACGTAATCAGATAAGAGAAGATCAAAATTTTTAAAATTTCTGTACACATGAGAAGTTGATGATGTGTATCGATTGACCACTTATTTTCCCATCCAATAAAACTATTCATAACATAAATTCTAGTCGGGTCAAATTCATGTGAGTTGTCACTTCCGTAATGCATAGGTAAGAGTAATTTGTATAAGCGAGTGGGATCACACAAATCTGCTTACAGATAAGTGACATTTACAAGTATAACCATTTTATGAATCAATAAAAAGAGGTTGGTCAGCCATTGTGCGTCGGTGGCACAACGGTAGAACGCTCGCCGACCACACATGTGGTTCAAGGTTCGATCTCCGGCCGACGCACTCATTGACCTCGCTAAGCCAGTTGTAAGACTGGTAAAGAGGGGAGGTTAGGCATGAGGCTAGCGATCCCATCCCGTAAAAATCAACTTCAAGCCTCTAGCTTGAAGCCCTATGAACAACTGAGAGCGTAAAGAATTTAAAAAAGCCATTGTTGCAAATGAAGAATTTCTTAAAAGTCGAACCCTGCTAACTCGAACAGTGCTTCGCTCTAAAGGGTTTCGTTCCATCTCCGATTTCCACTCTTGTATAGTCAGCTATCGGCTTCATACATTCCTTGGTTTTATTGTTGTACTAAACCGTTGTTTAAAAGATAATAGTACTCACAATCAAGTTGACTTTTCTCTGGTAAACAAATACCTCACAACAATCTGTAGTTCATACGGCATAAGAAATTAAACATCTGGATTCATCATTTCATAAAAAACCAGCATATTTTATTTATCTGAGTTATCTATTTTTAGCATTGAATCACATTTTTGACCTATCTTAATTCTATCAGTTTAATCCTTTGTTTATTCATAGTACAATAAGGTGGTATAGATTTTCTAAAATTCAATTTATTCACTGAAGTTAATTAACCTTGGTCTATGAAAGAAGCTGGTATATTCAGAGAAATTCAATTTTTACATTAATATACATAAACGACGTAGTATCATAAATTAGATAATGGATAATGTTGTTTAAGTTCTACACTTTTTCATCTAATAAAGTGAAGAAATAAGGTGTAGTACGATTAATGAACAAACCTCTGATTAAGTTTACGCGGGTTGCGTAAGTGTTTAAAATGCAAATATCTTTCCAGCCCCTATAAATCCAGCTATTTGTGAAAAGTGAGTACGCAGACTATTGGAAATTTGACTCATTAATTTACCAACATAGAACTCTGCGCAAATTTTTAGTGAAGTATGATGGGCCCTTGTTCCTGTAGTGAAGGCTACGTCTAACTTACCAAAAGGTAACTTGGAGAATATGATACTGAGTATTTGCCATCATGATTAAAAAGGAAAGTCATTAAGCTAACAGATAGTGTCCATAAAATATTATATTTACATACCTTTAACCTGTGCTATTATTGAACGACTTATCTGAAAACTTTGAGGACTATTTGTGTGTTGGTTTAAATTTACACAGGTCACAATGACATTTCTGTTTCATCAGTAGATCTTATACAAACATTACGACGTGGTTACCAAAAAAAAGCATTTCCATACCAACCTGCATCAGTCTAATAAGTGGAATTAACTCTTTTCGAAACCCCGTATTATTCTTATTAAGTCAATTACGACACAAATAAGTGAGAAGTTTCTTCATCCTGGACAACTACTTTTTCAACCTATATTTATTTGGAAACATTTATTTTCCGATAAGAATTGAAAATAAACAACAGAGGTTAATAAGGGTGGATAGGAAATGAGTGACATGTAGGATAGTGCTCATGTCAATGGTCAATACTGCACGAAAAGGTTAAAGTGAAGATATGAGGAAACAGATAAAGTACCTACATTAATTCACAAAATTTGTGACTTTCAGCCCAAACTATGTAAGCCATCTAGTTTGAGTTTTCTATTCAACTAAAAGTAACGAATAGGTACTATAACTCTGTGGAACAGCAGTAATGTGGATGCGTTTTCGTGTCTTTTCACCTATGCTTAGGTATATTTCTATATCGCCATTTTTTGGTGACTTATAGTAGATGATTTATTGAGAAGTGTAATAAATTATGTTGATACGTTGCTCATTGAAACCCGATTACAGCAGGTTATGATACGGCTAGCGATAGTTTATGACAATCATCATTCCACTTGCACACAACTGATTTAAGAGTTTAAATAGACAGTAATAACTTTACATTGTATCGTTGATTGTTTGTTCCGACTATTCGGGACTTGGTTTTATCAACCAACTGCCAAAAGTATTACGTTTTCAGATTTTAAAGTTCAACTCGGATGCTGTATTTTGCTGTCTTCACGGTAAACCGTTTTACATAATGTATGTAGCTGGAGATAATTCAACTCTCAGATGAATCAATTAAAACAATGGCAAAATCCAGAGTTTGACTGGAATGTGACTGAAATATGTTTTAGAAAGAGTTGTTAAAATATTTTTCCAGTATTTTATTTTGTAATAAAATATCCAACACATTGAGAGTGCTGAGTCTATCAAAACAAAAATTGCTTGTCTACATTAATCAAAGTACTTGATTATATGAGAGAAAAAAAATCACCACACTAAAAACCACTCTTTCAAAATAATACATTTGTAGAAGTTATTTTTTAGCACAATTAATATCGAGCCTTGTCGTAATTGTTACGGAACCATTGGCATGTACTCTCGATAGCTGAAGTAAACAATATTTAGAGAAATATGATTTGAAGTATTAGGACATGAAAACAAAGAAGTGTAACAAGATAGTAAAAATCATATAATTGGTTTACAATTAAAAAGTCACCTTAAAGAAAATATACTGAAGCGTACTGAATGTCTCATCTCTCAGGTGATGGAAGTTTTGAGAGGTAATCTAAATACAACTAGAACACATGAAATTGGCCCGAATAATCGTATTTCCTGATCCATGTTCTGTTCAGATCTCACTAAAAGAACAAATTCTTTACGGCACTAGAGGAATTCAGTTTTAGGTTTTAAACCATAGAAAGATTTTCACGCTTGAAATTCTGAGTATACCTTAATTAGAACGTAGATCTCATTGTTCATGGGAAAGGTAAAACACTCAGTTGGTGTTTCCGAACTGCTCGCAGTAGACATCTAGCTAGTTTTCTTTCTTATCCTCTACGACTAAGCTGATTACCACGAACACCTGCAACAACTATAGGAGTGGATTATGATATCAGACATGAATATCAATTATCGCGGTAGTTCCTAATGTTGGTCTTATAATCACTGCAACATTAAGTTTTCACATACATCTATGCTTCATATTCTTATACTTTGCTGAATGTTCTGCTATCTTAAATCCATCAGGTAGTTTTCAAACATACCATACACAACTACCTTGCATTCTCTGCTGACAATCACTCTTCAAATTGTTATGCATAATATCGGCCCAAAATATACTTAGTCAGAATAATCTAAACTGACTGTTATTGAATATTTATTTACGTATACAGCTTTTCGAAATGATATTAGCGAATGGAAAACATTTTCCTCTGATATGTTTTTCTCAATGGTTCATCTTATAAAAACTTATGTTTTCTAAAAAAAAAATACTCTCATAGCTTTTCAAGCAGATAAAAAATCCATATCTATACTTCAGAATACTCCAGAATTCTCATACAATCTATCAGCAAAAGCGTGTTAGTTAGGTTTGAAACTTAGTCACTCAGAGTAGATTTTTTATGTATGTATGACTGGAATTAAGATGCACCAGCTGAAAGTAAAGTCCTAAAGCCGATGAGCTACAAAGCAAAAAGACGAACGACCGGTTTAATTACATAAATTACCACATATCAAACACAGTAAGCATCAAATCCTTAGGCATCGCCAAAGTCGACATATCAACAGAGGCCAAACATTTCGGTCCAGCCAGTTAACCGCAAAATCAGGAATGAATTTTTAAAAATAACTATACTTACCTTGTTCAAAAGGAGTGAATTTAAAGTCAGGGTAAAGTCGACGAAGTTTTGATGCATTAGCAGTCTTCTTAAACTGTCCATCTGCTTTTGTTGTATCAAACTGCATGATAATTTTGTTAAGGTATTTCATACCGTCATAATTAGAAATTCGGAAATTTAATATTGCTTCTACAAGATAGACATATTCAAACATACTCTCAAATGATATACTTTAAAAATTTGTACATTCACATGATGTAACCAATGTTTCCAATACACAGTTACTAGATTTCGAAATGGACAAATTGCTGACAATAAGATATTATTATTAGTTCACTCAGTACTTACAGTGAAAAAGTAAACTCCACTTTTTTATATGTACAACTGTGCACTGGTATGTTAGGAAATTTTCATCATTAGATTATCAGTTTTTTTCCAATCGTTGAATTTTAACCTTCCAGGGACCACAGGCACGTCACCCACACTTTCCAATATAACTCAAATCAACAGTCAGTGACTTCATGGATTGGTTCGAAGTTTTAGTTTGATCAGCCTCTAACCTTTTTCTAATATGATCCTACTTTAACCAACACTGTGGAACATATGTTGATGTCGGTGAATTTTAGACATTCTGATCCTAATCCGAAATATGTACATATTACCTCAGTAATATATTGGAATTTTTCGACGTAACAGTAAGAAGTCATTATTCTGATTTTCAGTAAGTATTTATGTACCGAAAGTTCGAATACTCAGTGACGTAAACTAAAAAGGATGCAATCAGTAAAAATTCCTTGTGACAGATGATAGTATTCTAAGTAAATTAAGCTAGCACAATAATCATAAGAATATGCTACAAAACAGACACCGATCAAGATAGAGGCGGCTAGGATTGAGAAATATACTGATGACTGATGTGAATGTTAGTAAAAAATTCCCAGTGATCAATGTTGCTTAGTGTAGTTAACAAGCGTCAGACAGACAACGGTAGTTACACCTAGCGGCTACGTATCCAGCAGACATAAAATACAAAAGTTAAATCAACAGTCATTACTTGAGAAAAGAAGAATCTTAGAAACAGATAAAAAGACAATATTATGACTAAGATGAAGGTAAAGTATGAATGTTCCTGAAATCGATTTAGCACAAAGATTCCTGCACATATACTTTGACAGAATTATTTCCATACAGAGAACAGACTATGGAACTCTAACATTTTCAGAATCTACCGTTAACTAACCATGAACGATAAGGTAACTAAGCAATCAACAAAACAGAATTACAGTAGGAGGTAAAATAGTCTGAATGTTTCCTTGTGGCAAACCAGAAATTTATACCATTAAGAAAAGTTAACAATAACTTTTTCAATGTGCGCCATCACTTAAAAATCTAACGACAACAGAGTACAATTAAAAACTAATCTGTAGGGTTATGTGGAAATAAACTAGGATTTTAATGAATTATATGCTGCAGCAAAAACTAAAACCAAATAGTTAAAAGAAACCTGAGATTTAGGCAATAAAGAGTGAGAATGAGAAATTTAAAATGGACGAAAAGGATACAACGAGATTGGGACAATCCATTGCCTTAGCTACTGCTTCAGCTGCTTGACGAATAGAAATTTCATCACTTTCTGGTACGGACAATATAATTGGAGCAGAATCATTGTACTCCCGCAATACCCAAATAATCAAGTGACCCAAGTCGACAGAATAAATAAACTGGCGCAGCGGTGCACCTGTACCCCAAACAGTTAGCGGTTCATTATTTTCTGTGAATATAAATATAAACAAAGTTTTAAGTGAGAAGATACCAGAGATGAATGGCTATAAAGTGGCAAATACAGTGAATGGTGTCATTTTAAAGATGAAATTATTCAGTATCACAAGTGATTAAGATAAATGAGAAAATTATGATGGCACGAGGATGAAACTGACTATCTGTAGGCTTGGAAAACATTCACTAAGATTTTGCAATTTCAAGTAAAACTCCATAAGACTACAACTTCTTTGAGAGATATCTGATCGGTAACTGCTATGTTGATCTGGCAGTGAGGCGAAGGAGGCTGTAGAGAACACTTTGTACAGAGATCCGACTAATCTCCATCCAAGCTGGATTTGCTTAGCTTCCAACCCCTACCTGAATAGGGTGTAGGTAACAGTTCTGTAACTATAACTGAGGCTGTTAAAAGTGGTATCTAGTCTTTAAGGAGATAAAGCTGCTAAAACTTATGGTATAACTGCACAGGTATTTAAGGATGATGATGAACTACTGAATAGGTTAAGTAAGAAATTAGGTGGTGTGAGGGGATATGAGATAGTCCAGATGGACTACTTCAATTCATAGCTTACCCCAGTCTATAAGAAGGGGAACAAGCCTTCCTGTAATAAACATAGGGGTGTTACCTTGATTGAAAAATCCTGTATGCACTAGGCGGTGCTCGGAAGGAATAAACCCGTAGATATCAGGTGGGCTTTAGGCCTAGATAAGGGTAAATGAACCACACATTCGCTGTTTCGACAGGTGATCGGGGATTAGTATACTAACCGGAAGTATCTAACACTTCCCCGACTTTTTGACCTGAAGGTGGTATTCAACTCTGTCAACCGAGAGGTGATGTGGTAATATCTTGTCGTAAAGGAAGCACCAAGGCAATACATAGGACTCTACTTGAACGGGAATTTGTTACGAGAAGTAAAGACAACAAGTGATGTCCTGCCAGGCGTACTTAATGTCTCTTATCTTCAATTAATTCCACCATTATTATCAGTCGATTGTTGCTCCAGAGTTGAACAAAAGGATTCAGCTAGCACTTTACCGCTGTAATCCTTTCTCTGAAGTCAATTTTACCTGGCTCCACGACTTCGCACAAGCTTCCATTTCCTTCTCACATTATCTCCTTCACGTTACGCTTAGACGCTCATCCTGCCGATTGCAGTTCGGGTTTAACTCGATAGCCTCCATAGCGTCTGATTTACTTAACGGTTCCCTTAGTGTATTTCCAGTTTACCTCCGTTTACTTCTGCATATTTGTTGGACAATAGGTTATAGGCTGGCTTGTTGCTAGCGTTTCTTCTGTTTATTCTTTAGGGCGAGCCAGCCATCTTATTTTTAATATAGGACAGAAGTGGCTGCTAATGAAGGTCTGCAGTAACTACATAATAGAGTTATACTCTACCACAGTGCCCAAGTTTTATACTTATGTCAATAAGGTCTGCAGTAGATTGTTGGAAATGCTTTCGATGATACGCAGACCAAGTCTGTGAATACTATGAACAGCACTCAACTGACTTCAGTGTCAAACATTAGGATCTTTGTTCTTTTGGTAAGTGATGTGGATCTCCACACAGATTTCAGAGTAATGAATGCCTGTACTGTACTCTCATGAATTTACTTCAGGCATTTCACCAAGGTTTATGTTATGAATTACTTGACATTTGGCATCGTCACATAGCGAGTTGTTGAATGAAGCTTACAAGTGTTTGCAGCACTGAACTCCAGTGTTGAAGTAGTTGCGAAATTTCTTCACGTTCGACGCTGCATGATAGCTTTTTTAAAGTCAGTTTTGTTGACAGTTATTCTAGGTTCTATTCTCTTTAGTCAGGCATATGAACTCAACCTGTTCCGGGCCCAGTCTTCCACTCAGAGTACAGACTATCTGGCCGGAGTTTTTCGAGGATGGCTAGAGACTGTTGTTGACATGGCCCAAAATCATTTTCAACGGCATAGATTCATTCACTCTTTACGGACTTTCATATTCATTGAATTCACACTTTCTTCCACTTAATTATTCTTTAGGCCTCAAATATCCATCTACTATAGTTTCTGTTTTTATCTCTACCTTTATGTGAGCTTTTATGGATTTCGGTGAATTGTACTGCAGTACTTCAGTGCGAAGTTCGATTCGATTCAGTTCGGTTTGTGTTGTAATGTACTATTCTAACAGCAGCAGTTGCGTATGAGCATTTAACAACGAGATTACGGCATAAAAAATAAGGTGTTGCGTAATGAATTTTGCTTCTTCTGACTGCTTATTGAGCATAGGTTCACTCGAAATACTTTAAATTTTTTTATTCTGCCTTTTCTCTTCAAATAAGATTAATTTGCATATGAAATTTCATAATATGATCAGTGAGATATTTACATTAATCATGCTACTGATCTTACCGCCACCTCCGTCGGCTGCATATAGTTTTGTCCATGATATTACTATTACTATGTGTACAATCCATATTATTTATCATTTACTCACAAATCACCATCTTTATTTAAGGCCTTATAGATATTTGATTTCAGTGAGTGAGTTTTCAACGTAGAACTTTACTCAAAAATGCAGCAGTTTAAGTTACCACACCCCGTATAGCACACAAAGAAGCTATGAATATCAAAGTAAAGCCTAAGTACAGTGTAATCAAAAACAGTACTGTTCACTTGGATATCCTCTTCTAATCTTAATTTCAACAGTGAGAATTATTTCCGCACTTATGAATGTTATATGGAAACAGAAATCAGAATGTCCTCAGCACCAACTGCATATATTCGAAAACGCTTTTTTAACCAGCAATATTCCAAAGTGTATATAAGTGTAAAGATATTAAAACTTCAGAATAAATGTATAACTAAACAAAATAACGCGGATTACTTTTGGCTAAATAAGCTTTATGAATAAGGCCAGGAAGAACATGTCCTTGATTGATATCAAAGTTGTCGAATGGTCCAAATACGTTTGTAGGAATGACAGATGTATAGAGAACCCCATATGTTTCGCTGTACCCTCTGCGAATAATAATATAAAATGAACAAATGCACATGATGGAAATAATCACAATTAAAAATGAAATAGCCTAACAAGTGTGGTTTGATCAAAAATGAAGTCAAAATGAAACAAATTAACTACTCAAAAATCCAGCCAAAGAGACAACGCATTACGGTTAAAATGATCAACCACCAAAGTGAATTCACTTACCTATTCATTACGTCAATCATGCGCTTGGCATATGAATATCCATAATTGGAATCATGAGGTGGTCCATTGTGAACCATCGTCTCATCAATAGGATAAGATGTGCGATCAGGGAATATACATGTTGAAAGACAGGAAATCACCTTTTTTGCACCAACTGTATGGCTACTTGACAAAACATTATCATTTATGAGCATGTTTTGGCGCTTATAGGAATAAAAATCATAAGAATCATTAAAAATACGAAGAAAAAAACACAGAATCATTTACTCAGGAAAAGAGATACACAGGAATGGTGGTGGCTTCAGAATTGGTTTTCACAATTAAACTTGTTCTCGCCAGAGATATAAATGTTTGAATAAACAATTCAAAAGTGAAATTTCATCCCGAAAAGCTCTGTTTGAATAGTTCTTGTGACTAAGCTTAAGAGCATACTGCTCATCTTGCAACTCTTCCTCTCGTAGAAACTAAACCAAAATCAAATTATTGGTAATCTTAACTTTGACCAACCAGTAGCGCACAAGCTACGTTTTATGATCAGCGAATCAAAGCATTCTAGAAATTCAGACGTTTTGAAACAGGCATTTCCTACTTTTTACGCCGCTTAGTTGTCAGTGATTTCGGTTTGAAATATTATTTGAGCTGGTATTGTTTAGATATTTACAACTCTTACTGGAAGTCACAATGAGCTCTTTGTTACACAATACATTCGAAATAAAACATCCACACTCAGAAACGCTGATAGCCTCCGATATTTAATAAATACTGCAAAAGGAATTCGCGTTACACGTGTGTGAACGTATGCTGCCTCCAAAGCCTCAGGATGGTCGGGGCTGGGTGTCTTGCGCTGCGGGTTGGCCACCCCTCCGTACACCTCTTGAAATGCTCCCATATGACCGTGCGTCTTACATAGCCTCTCCTGAGGAAGTCCTACTCACTGCCTTCACGTGGCGGAGGTGTTTATTTCACCGAAGTGAGAGGGCAAAAGCAGATGCCCGGCGCTCTTCACCGGGTTGACTGTCTATTGGATGACAGTCTAGGGGAGATGGCTAAACCCTGATTCCAAACCTCCAACGACTGGCGTATGAAGCTCACCGGAGTTCACCGGCAGACGTATGGACAAAGGGCTTATTGGATGCCCTAGATGTCTGGCCCCATTCAAAAAGGCGTATGAACTGGACTCCGGTCACCGGCTGCCAATGGATAGTGGATTCCCTACTCCACTCCTACTGCCTTGTAGGTCACACTTGGTTGTGTAAAGGCTAGAGCTGCACTCTCAAACAAAAGGCCGAGCGATGCTGGGGACATCACTCGTACCCAATTCCCATGAAACTTCATCAACTCTCTTACAAACATTCGAGATGTTCATGAAGCCGGTTCATCGTCCCGTAGGAGATAGCCGAAGTAAAGAAGAAAGAAGAAGAGAACGTATGCTGCGGCAACCCTGATAACAAACCTACACCTTCCATAGCTGTGGCATTATGAATCATGAAATATCGAAATATATCTACCAAAAATGAATCAATCAGTGCATTGTAGTTAGCATACAAAAAACCGGAAAGTAAACAACAGTCCTGTTTATATTTTAGAGCTTTTAATGCACACAGAATGACTGTATGAAGTTGTTTACACATGCTACCGATACTTAATATATATATATAACTTGCTTTAATTTCTCAAACATGTTCTCATGTTATCCGGAATATAAATGAAAGGAGTAAACGTGTTAAATAAACGCAGGACCAGATTGTATTCTAGAATTCCATTACATCAAGTGTTAAATGAAGCTTAAAGAAAGTAACAACAATGATTCCATATCTATATTTTACTTTCCATAATAACAATACAATGACCGAACAAAAGCTAAGGTCTACTTGAATGCGTTGCGAATATTTATCTCATGTTTTGGCTATTACTGATATTAATTATTTACTTGGTTACACTGCCTTGTGCCTAAAATATATCAAACTATCGTATCCACATAAATTTATACTGGTATACTTTTTAGATAATCAATACTAACCACCCGAATTTCACTTACGAAAAATTCAAGATTGCCAGACATATTGGCAAATAAACCACCAACTTTAGCTGCAAGGTGTATTACGTAGGTTGGTCGGATACGCTCAAAATATGCTCTAGTGGCAGCACTGTCTGCAAGATTGACATCCTTAGAAGACGAAAATATCCATTTTTCACCGTCCCTTTTAAGAGAATCATTGATATTCTCCAAGGCCAATTGGATGCCATTTCCAACCAAACCTGTGCCTCCTGTGACCAATACAACTGTTTCCATATTATAATCTCACGGAATTTCACGGCCAAATTACTGTGACGAAACGATATGATTGCTCCAGACTGAAAAGAACAACAGGTGTCCCAATTTGACTGAATTTATTCTTTTGACGTCTTTCAATAGGTAAGCCCTGCAATGGATACATATTCTGCGCTTAGATGAAGTATGGTTACCTGATTATCATTTTTAGGTATTAAGAAATAAAAGAAAAAATAATAAAACTCAGCAGTTACTGCCTGCATGAGGTATAAATTAACCTAAGTTGGAAACGAAGGAGATACTCAATCACAAAAAATATCGAATCAAAAGTTCACCGTAATTAACTGCTGAATCAAGTGATTATTGAATGAACCCCTATGACCTCGCAAAGTTTAGTGGTTGACTGAATTTTGGACTTCGTTGTTTTTGAAACAAGTCTTCATAGCCAAGAATGTTAGTTTCAGTAGGGACTGAATTTCGTTAATCTGACAGTGACTCGGAAAGATTATAACTCTAGAAATCATCCTTTACAGATGCCTCACTAGAGTCAGTAGCATGTGAGATCAAGACAGGGAATATTGATTTACCCAGAAGTGACAATAGGAGGTTAAATGACTTCTAGTATTAACAGAGGTTGTGTGAAATTAAGTGATGAATCGAATATTAGGCTAAAAGGAACTGGGCTGGTTAGATAAATCAACTTCATCCACTTTGACAACAAGGGAGCATTGGGAAACCTCCCAGGGGGTAATGAATCATAGACTGATACATAACCCAAGCTAACTATAATCCTGAATTAAATCTCGCTAATTCTGAACCAACTCTAACATTCTATAACGAGTAAATTCTGAAATGGTTTGACTATGCACACAGAAAAGAACTTTGCTGGTTTTCAGCATGACTGGTACTAAGTCAGCACCCTGTGCTTTACCTAGGTAGTTTTAGTAGGAGCTCAAAACTTGTTTGCTAATCAGCAGTTTCATCTCTCTCAGTCCAGATGCAGCACTAGCTGGCATTAATTCATAGCAAAAAGACTTATTTAAACACATAGTAGCAACTTCCTCAGCTTTATTTCAGCGCTAGAGATATTATTTCAGCTGAAAATCCTATTTCTGAGGTTTCGTCGCATTAATTAAGCGTCCAGTGCCCTTTTGAAGGAAGACCAGCGTTATTTCAGTACAGTGGGTTCATTTTAGGTAGATAAAATATTCATTTACCATAAAGCATTATCGACGCATAGGTTAGAATTAGACTGGACTTTTAGTAGGGTGGGAAGTTTAACATATGGATGTAATAAAGGAAGGGACTCAATAGGCAATATGTGATATACAGAATGATATTAAATAGATGGGCATTATGAACATAGAACCTAACATTACTGATTAATGTTTGAAGAGACAGATAAAACATAGAAATGTCAATCCAGTACCATAAAACAAATCGAATACAAAAATTAAAACCAAGGTGACGATTAGGCGAAAAGCATTTATTCGCCATATCTTATTACATTTGAAGAAATGCGCATAACTACGCAGTTACACCAACATATGTGTGTATTTAGGTAATTCAAATTAGCATGAAGCACTGACCACAGGGTGCGTCCTAACAGTAAATATATACCAACTCAGAAAACACAATTAAATCAAAACCATCCACCTGATCTACAAATACCTATTGGCAGAAATATACTTTAGAAACTTACGGCTGTACAACACAGCTGATATAATGCTCTTTTGTACGGCAGATATTGGAAAGATACAATTTTCCCCACAAAATTCGTCGAGCATTATCAGCATTACTATGACAACAACTACTATTTTCCAGCAATACGCACATTATTTCAACAGACGCTGGGTTTTCAATACATGTAAAGTAGCCGTTTAGCATTATATATGGTTCAGCATTATCCCTAAACAGGTGCTTGGTTTATCAGCAAACCGTCGAAAAACCCAGCATATGTGAGGGTATGTAGACAAAAGCACTGAGAGAGTGCAAAAATCTATGGTTCCCAAAGTGTCAGAATCCAGATACGAACTGATAACAATACCAGTTTCGGATTTTATTTATTTCAGCCCAAATTTGAACTGATTAATCAGCACTTCAATGTCGCTTCTGATTTTCAATTGCAAGAGTTAGAGGACAGGTCTACTGAGAAGGCTATAACTCTGTCAACATCTAAGAAACACATACGCAATAGAGTGAACTCACCGAAGTGACGTACTAAGTGACAGTGCCCTTGAACACGCGCTAATTCTATTGTCCACCTATCTTGAAGGTTATGTATCGTCAATTTGTTCAAGTGCATTCAAAGTAATACTTCTGTATCAGCTTTGAAGCAATGACGCTTTCAAGGCTTAACTTGAAAGCGATTTTCAGTATTGTAACCGCTTTTGTTTTATCAAATATCTGTTTCACAGACTTAAATGAACTTAACTCAGTCAGAGAACCTATTCCGTAAACGTGGAAACAGTGGGACAAAACGCGGGATCCATTCATCTCAATTAGTGGTCTTAATCGGAAATCATAATTATCATTTTAAGAGATGAAGGACGAACTCTCGAGACTCTTTACATAAGATACAATCCAGAAAATTCGCAACTAAGAAAGTCTCCTTTTCTTACGTAACGACTGTCCCTCTACAAAGTTGTGTAGCGGTAAATAATTCCCGAAAATTCTTGACTATAGGAATAGTTTATGTCTAAGAGAAGAATTACATCGTGACCATAAGAATCATCAGTGAACATTGGATGCTGGCCCTTAGAGTTTAAGTCGACTTGTTTAGCTGAAGGCTTCCCGTCAAGCATCCCCACCGTTTGGTACTTCGTCGTTTCACTTTCGTGCACGATAACTAGCTAGCTTAGCTTCCGCTTCAATCCGCGATTTGGTTCCGAAATATATCTCGTAATTTGGACAATCAATCGCCGTGTTTTGCTTTGCCTTTGGTACACGAGAATCAAACAAGATAGAAGTTGTTGGTATAAGATCTTGCATTAATGTACTCAGTACTGTTCGCGAACGTCTATACCGTCAGCCTCTAAAGTTGAATTGTTCCAGTCCGATAAATCAGAAGGTTGTGGCTAAGAAACATTTCCATCAGGGTTTATAGTCACACACAAACCCTGAACAGTCCTCCCAGGCAGGACCAATGGTTCAAAAGTTCAAAATTCTTCAAACAATGAAAGGAGCATGGTGTCCTATGATTTGGATGATGAGAGAAATTGTGATGACAGCTGGCTGCTAGCCGAATTGGTAGACAGTGATTTACGTCAGTGTTTATGTCCATATATTAGCCATGTGTAAACAGGGACGAAGACTGACAGCAAACTTCGCGTAGGCGGATACAGTTTGCAGATAAATGATCTGACGTTCAAGAAACAGTCACAAAGTGATGAAAGATTAGCTTTTGATGGGAAACAACAAATGAGAAGACTGTGCTTGTCCGCTAACAATAATCTATAATATTGTAAATGAAAATCTATAAATATGTGTTTATTTCCTTAATAAACGATCTGTTGCCTGACTCTTGCCTTCTGTTGTTACAATTGGTGTCACTGCCTCCGAACAGTGAAGATCCCATAGCCAACTGCGTTTGAAGAAAGGAACCTACGGAGCTTCTTGCGTGATTTCGAGGCCGTTACTGAGTTGTTGGGTGTCAAGGAGCAGGCGGGGAAGGTGGTTGTGCTGGGGACGCTGTTGAGAGGACGAGCGAGGGCGGCATAAGACCGCGTAGACAGGTCAGATGGCACGGCATCTTGGAAGACACTGGTTGAACGATTGGTGTCGGAGTTAGACAGCGCACCACAGACAGCTAGCGATGCAGCAGTTCCGTTCAACGAAGCTGGGATTTGATGCAGACCGTTTGGTGCTGGCGGTGAAATTGACGAATCGTCTTCTACGTGCGCTTCCCACTTTTGATGAAGGATCAGAAGCGCAGCTACTGACTCCACAGTTCGTCGTGTGTCTCACACACATTTCTCGGCACTTAAAACTGGTTAACGCTGTGTAGCCTGTGGATATTAGTGAGCTGACGAAGTTGACCAGACGGCTGCTGAGCACAACTCTAGCCGCTAAAGAGCAATGAAAACCAAACGAATATGAGCAGGAAATTGAAGCGTTGCAGAGGGAAGCGGTGGCATTAAAGTTGGGTGATAGGAATGACCGATGTTTTGAATGTGGTAAGCCGGGACACTAGAGAAGATACTGCCCAGAAAGGCGAAAAAGAAAAAGTTTCAGGCGGTATAATACTTGTTCTTTCTCTCGTATGGAACTAGATCTAGTGGGGGCTATTAAGAAAGGGGCTGTGAATTCGAAGTTGCGAGTGAATGATCGAGAAGTAGTATGTTTAATAGATACAGGGGCGGCCATGTCTTTAATTAATAAGAACTTATGTAAGAGTGTTAGTCCGTGTTCATTGACAGTACAAACGTTAGTCGGGCATGTGTTGCGTATCGCTGGTAGATCGAACTGTACGGTCGTTGTTGGCGGCTACGAGGTGACGTTTCCCTTCATTGTTGTACTCGAACTACAGCGAACGATACTAGGAGCGGATTTTCTGCGGGAGACAGGTGCAATAATGGACACGCGAGCGAATATTGTGATCGCGAAATACGGACGTATCAGCATGTATGAGACCAGCAAGATAGCAGAGGTTAAGCTGTCGACGGTATACAATATGACAGAGTTAATTAATAAATACGATCACCTGTTCATTGGAGATGGCGACCCATACGGTTATTGCGATAAGGTGAATCATGAAATTCCGTTAAGTGATCCGAAAGTAAGGTCATTTACAACGCGAAGAGTTCCATGTCATTGGGAAGGCGAAGCTGAGCGACAAATGCGAGAGATGTTAAAAGATGACATGATTGAAGAAGCTGATAGCCCGTACAATTCTCCAGTTCTGTTAGTAAAAAAATGAATGGGAAATATAGATTCTACGTTAGTTTTCGACAGTTAAACAGTATGACAGAGTTGAGATCATGTGCCATGCCAACTGTCAAAGGACGAGGACAGTGAACGTTTGTTTTTGTTGGGCAACTCGAAGGCACGAATAGTTCGATCGTTTACAAGTTCGACGAAGATGAGCAAAAATGAATAAACATTCCTACTGTTCCTACTGACCACATTTAGCAAGCCAACAGAACCCGTTCATATGTCTTATGTGTCTAGTGGGGAGCATGTGCCGATTTCTGCACAAAACTTGCCATGGTCTGATGAATACCAGAAACAGATACCAACAATTCATTCTTATACTGGCAACAAATTACCGAATACACATATCGGTTATAACTTAGGGCAGGATTTTCACCAGCGTCAGTTAACAGAAACACCTGGAATCATGTATATAGCACGCATGATATCGGATCAATTCCTTGCTGGCATAGCGAACAGTCTACAGCTAGGGCAAAGCATATTTCCCGGGAGATAGCTGACACAGTGTCGACACCAAACGCGGATACTAATATCTCTAAAATATTAATATCTGATTATCACACAGGTGTCTCTCACTGCATACCATATCCAAACGTAAGCCCATCCCTGACTACCACCTCAAAAATCTACCTGAAGTCTTCCTACGATCCAAAGATATTGGTAAATGAGTCTGATAACATGTATATAGAGGATACTCACGGATTATTTTACCAAGATGTTGTCCGCTCACTGAAACCACATAGCCAGTGTCTATCTATTATCCTAGTAAATACGAGATCAGTTCTAAGCAAACACTTAGCACTAAGTACAATAGCTTCTATATGCAAACCGTCATTGATTATGATCACCGAAGCTTGGTGCACAAGTGAAATCTCCAATGACAGCCTAAGGATTGATAAATACAACCTTTTTCGAGGGGACAGGCGGATAGGTCGTGGGGGTGGAACACTAATTTACTGTGAACAATCCATGTGTGCAACCCAGTTTAGTAACCCAATTATGTCACAACTCAATGACTCGATCTGAGTCGAAATAAAAGTTGTCAGAAGTAAACCTATACTTGTGTGTACCGGCCCCCTTCATCCAGCAGGGAATATGATAATATGCTTAGCAATATCTTTAATGTTACGGCCAATCTTCCTTTCAGTTATAAAATTATCGGAGGCGATTTCAACATGCCAGAAGTATCATGGTCTTCACTCCGAGGACCCCAAAGGTATGATAATCTCATAAATTCCATCATCACAGGAGGGTGGACACAACACATAAATTCACCCACTAGATCCGCAAATATCCTAGACCTTATTTTCACGAACAACATAACGCCATCTACAGTACATGTGGGACAGGAATTTCCAGGTAGTGACCATAGAATAGTAGTTTGTTCTTTTGACATCTTTCCTGAAAGAAAACGCAGAGATGAAGCTGGCCAGATAATAATAATAATAATAGTAGTATATTCTCATTTTGTACATGAGAGACGCCAGTTTACAGGCATCATCAATATGATAAATTACATATACGATTAGCAATCATAATTAATAATAATGTTTTAATAAAATACACATTTTTTCCTACTTGTGTAGGACACACCAAATATACAGGCATGGATAAGCATTATATAAATTTCATAAATTTGGTTTATGGTTAAGTTACATGGTTGCTGGCGTTTTTGTCTTAGGTCTGTGGGAACAATATGATAACCAGTCATTCAATGGAGCACGTCATGAAATATAGGAATATTAACTTCGCATTAACAAAAAAACCCAAGTAAGTTTTGGATGGATTAAAAATACTTGGGAAAAAATAAAGCTTGAAGTAATTCCTCAATATAACTTGGGTGTGTACAAATCCGAATCTTATTTTTGATTTGATTTATATCCAAATTGGGTAATAAGGAAGCTATTTTACAGATACGATCAGTTATGTTATAAGCTACAATCGTGACGTTGTATTACAAATAGATACTTTTCCATTGGTATAAGAGTATATTCCACAAATGTAATCCAGGTTGCGTCGTGGAGAAAGTTAATTCGTTATTAACCAGGCAACTGAAAGATACGGGACCAATAATGTTTGCAGATCATTTGTCATTGTAAATGGTCAAATATCCACATTATTCATTCTCATTCAAAAAGTCAAATGGAAGCTGAAATGGTGAGAGAAAAAAGAAGACAAACAACAGCAACGCAAAAGAAAGCAACGGGAGTCCTTAAGGAGTGATTAATAAATATATACATATATATTCTGTTTAGTAACTGTGGTTATTTTGGTACACAAACTAACTAGTCCCGT